TAAGTCCCACAATTACAAGACTGAGCACATCACTATCTGCGAATTAACTGTGTTATGAATAACACTAACCCTTGCATAGATAAACACTCCCTTGGAAAGATGCAACATGCTTCCATCATTGACAACAACAATTACAAGATATCTATATAGTAAATAGATTATAAATGTTGAATTTGCTAATTTCAGATTTGGGAAAGTCACAAAGCAGAATATATGACATGTTTGCTCATTTATTCTGCTGATTGCTTGAAGAAAGGGATTAATTGTCTGCATATAAATTGTCTCATTCTTTCAAGCTCAGATTTAAAAAAATGAACACTTGGTTGAAAAAGCTGAATCACTTCAAGACGGCACCCCAGGTTAGTTTATGCTTGCCCTGGTCCTTTCCCTCCAGCAAGCATTCCTGTCCCCTTTGCTAGATTCTCCTAGCAAGGTTAACCTAAACAGGAAGTTTGGGGCTGCAAAACACCTCAATGACAGAAAATAGCCAAGGCATGGAGCCAGAAATAGTGAATGGATGGGAAAGGGAATGGGGCATTATGTCAGCTTTACCAGTCCTGATCCTGAGGTTCTTTCCTTTCAGGGCTGCTTTCTACCGAATTCCTTTGATAAAGTTAGGGATGGTCCTTTCTTTTCCCTCAAGAAGTCACAGCATTGTGCAAGTCCTAACACGGAAGGTGTATACAGTAAAAGTACTTTTACAAATGTTTTTACCTAGGGATTCTGAGTGGCTCAGTGGATTAAGTGCCTGCCTTTGGCTCAGGTCATGATCTCAGGGTCCTGGGGTCGAGCCCCCACGTCAAGCCCCATGTCTGGCTCTGTGCTCGGCAGGGAGTCTACTTCTCCCTCTGCACCGCCCCCCCACTCATGCTTGCTCACATGCTCTCTCTCTCTTTCTCTCAAATAAATAAATAAAATCTTTAAAAAAACCCCAAATGTTTTTATTTAATCTTTACATATGAAGAAGAAACAATTACCCCCTGGTGATTATTCCCCCCTATTTGTTTTTTGGATTAGAAAATTGAGGTTCAGAACAATTCACATTATTCAGGGTATTTAAGGTGCTATTTCTAATAAGTAAGAAAGCTGGGACTCAAAGTCAGGTGTTCTGATTCCTTGGTTAGAGCTTTTGCCTTACACCTCAGATGTACCAAGGGCATGTTGTGGGACTCTGTTTTATTTACCTATTTTTGTATCCCTGAGGCCTAGTACCATGCCTGGCATTGAGTATATATTCATTAAATGTTAAATAAAAAGTTGGGATTTATTGTTTAAAACTTTCACTTGTGAGAAGAAAGATGCTATCCAAACAGTTATAAGGCAATTTCGATGCCTTACGAAGTTCAGGGAAGTCCAAGGACACAGCACGAAGGGAAGCAGTTGCAGAGTTGCTTGCAGATACTCTATTTTCTTTCCAAGGTAGAAGCTTAAGTGTTGAGTGGTTTGAAGGACACTCCTCAGAAGTCAAGGATTCACTGAATGAAGGCATTGTTTCTGTGGCTGTGCGACTGCTTATTTCCTGCTCTGTGCCCACCTTCTAGTTTCACAGTCTCAGATGTCACTGAGGACAACAAGTTCCGTGTCTGTCCTTCCTGAGGTTACTGGGGACAGGGTTTCACCCAATCCCGCTGTGCTGTAGGAGACCAAGTATCTTCTAATGAAATAAATCCCCTCAAAGTCCTTCCTGGGGACTGCCAGAGATCTGATTCCCTATTTTGTATGTGTGCCTGATGCACGAAAGTCACCCACAAGAAAGCTGAGGAAGGACTGAAAGGTAGCTGACAGGTGCCTAGGGGAGAATGTCCTTTAAATAAATAAGACCCATAGCTCCCACAGCTATAGCAAAGTAAACCAAAGTGATAAAGACAGAAAAATAGAGCCTGGAGAAAATCTGTCGAAAGAAAGAAAGAAAAGAAAGAAAGAAAGAAAGAAAGAAAGAAAGAAAGAAAGAAAGAAAGAAAGAAAGAAAGAAAGAAAGAAAGAAAGAAAGAAAGAAAGAGAGAAAGGAAGGAAGGAAGGAAGGAAGGAAGGAAGGAAGGAAAAGAAAGGAAGGAAGGAAGGAAGGAAGGAAGGAAGGAAGGAAGGAAGGAAGGAAGAAAGAAGGAAAGAAAGAAAGAAAGAAAGAAAGAAAGAAAGAAAGAAAGAAAAGATGAAAAAATAAAGGCTGTAATAACCACAAATCAAAAAATCAGCAGAACAAAAGGAGAAAACTTGCATCATTTTCTCCCCCAGAATATCATCATTGTTGAAAGGAGGTATTTTGAAAAAAATGATGATGTTCAAGTAGTTATACTTGACCAATATTTTTTAATGATTGCTATTTCCTTTACCTTAAAAAGGTAAATGGACTGAAGTGGATAAAGGGCTCCATATTGGACAATTTGATCAGTCTTTTCTCCTATACTAAATAGGGCCTGCCAAGAAGCCAGGAAACTGAACACCACTTAGCAAGCTTTCTTGTCCCATTCTTAGAGAACTGCTAATCATTCAAAAGGCTGTCTGATAAAAGATACAAAAAAATATCAATTATGAAATATCATATAGAATACATTTCATATAACTTTCTAACAGTGATCTAAGTCAAGGACAATTTCTTATTTCTTACTCTCTTCCTTTTTGTCTTATGCCATCTCTATTTAAAAAATCTTCTACCACATAATTTTGCACTTCCTCTTTCACATCACTTATTTTTTTATCTTATGTTCCTTTTCTACCTTTGCCCTCCTACTTGAAAAAGTCCCAACCTCCTTCATGTTTTGGCCACAAACTCTCCTTTCTCTCATGGTACATGTTTTCTGTCCAGCTGCTTTCTGTCTCTCTCTGGAGCCTCTTTATATACTGCAATGAGCTGTTATCTGTGGAATTCTAATCTTAGCTTTATTTTCCATGTTATTTGCATACCCTCATTTATGTTTTCCAGCAAAAAAGTTTATGTCAAATAAAAACAATAGTTTTAATAATGTTTAAAAGATCACACAAGGGGCGCCTGGGTGGCTCAGTCATTAAGTGTCTGCCTTCGGCTCAGGTCATGATCCCCAGGGTCCTGGGATCGAGCCCCGCATCGGGCTCCCTGCTCCGCGGGAAGCCTGCTTCTCCCTCTCCCAGTCCCCCTGCTTGTGTTCCCTCTCTCGCTGTGTCAAATAAATAAATAAAATCTTTAAAAAAAAAATAAAAATAAAAGATCACAAAAGTAGTGCACAAAATTAGGCAACCTGTAAACATTTGAAAGTAATCTGTTAATGTAATTTTCTTTTCCAAAATCCTGAACAAGGCCACATCTTCCTGAAATAGGATTTTTCTCTTCCAGTTCCCCTTTCCCCAAGTTGCTCTGAGCTCCAGACTCCCGTGTCTAGTCCCAGCAAATATGTAAAGGGATCTATTTCTAAAATTCTTCAGCTGCTCTGGAAAGAAGATAAAATTGCTTCTAAAGCTGTGCTGTGTGCCTTCTCATATTTTACAAGTAACAAAACAATTCACAGAGAAATCTGTTCCTTGGATTTGATTATTTGGATTAGAACTCAAGAATATGCTATTTACTGCTTTGTGTATTTGGCTGACAGTGGCCGGGGACTGAGGAGGGAGAAAGTAAAGAAAGTAACCATATATATTAGAAGGGAGTCTCTTACATCCCCTAAAGATGTTCTGTGTGAAGATTTCTCTAGCCTAAGGCACCCTTGTTCTGCTTTTTGCTCGCCTCAGAAGAGGTGTCACCTCTTAATAATAACGTTAATTATAATGGACAATAAATGATAATTTATGGGTGACTGAGGACCAAGAAGCGTCTGGGAGTTTTCATTAAAACAACAGCACAATTACAACCTCTGGAGGCAAGATATTATAATTATTAAATGTTTATGTGCCCTCATCAGTATGCACAGGTTAAGTTTTTCCTTTTAAGTCCCCCCCTTGTACATTTTTTTTTTTTAAAGATTTTATTTATTTATTTTAGAGACAGAGCACAAGAGGGGGGAGTGGGAGAGGGAGAAGCAGACTCCCTGCCGAGTAGGGAGCCCGATGCGGGACTCGATCCCGGGACTCCAGGATCATGACCTGAGCCGAGGACAGTTGCTTAACCAACAGAGCCGCCCAGGCGCCCCTGTACATTTATTTTTATTACAGAAAAATTTCAAGGCACATCAAATTAAAAAGACTAGTTACAACAAACACTCTTGTACCAATCACCCACCTTCACCAACTCTTAACTTTTTGCCAATCTCGTTTCACCTATCATCTCCATTGGTACGAAAAACTTTAAAGCATATACGAGAGATGAGAGCATTTTACTCGTAAAAATTCCAGTAAACACCCCAACAATTTTATAATAACTTGACTGTTACAGCACAATGGACCCGCAGAACAAAATAAAGGGGTCCTCGCTATTACAGCTCTCTGGAGGTACGAGGGGCATACGGCAGGGACCGATGGAGGTGGGGGTGGGAAGGACTAAACCCCAGGATCAGGTCTATAAATGCCTTCGGCGCTATCAGGCATGCGCAATCCAGACCCCAGAGTTGCTAAGGCCCCAAGGAAGATAGAAGCTCTGGATAAGACGAAAGCCAATCAGAGGGCTCGAAGGCTAATCAGTCAGCCAATCCAGATTCGAGAGTGCATCAGATGCTCAGCATTCTGATCCCTCTACCAGTATCCAATCGGAGAGCTGGCTGCTTTGGGCGGACTTTTCAAAACAGCGAAAACAAAACAAATGGGGACCTTTAAAAGGTGCAATGCGACCAGAAACTATCTCCTTCCGCCTCTCAAACCTATCACTCCTTTTCCTTCCCCCCTCAGGATCAATCGCAGAAAGCCGACTCCCAGATTTCACGCTCTGCCCTGAGATCGAGAGGGAGGAGTGGCTCGGCAAAGCAAAGGCGAGGGGAGGAGGGCACAAATCCGGCTGGGGACAGTAGTATAGGGGCGGGACTCTTTTTCAAAGTCTTTTGCGGAAGCCGCGGATCCCTCCGCGGGGAGTCACGTGCCCCGCCCCCTTGGGGGCGTCGAAAACTCAAAACAAAAACAAGGGGTTTGCTTCGGCCTCCGCTGTGGAGGCAGCGGTGCCGGCAGAGGGGCAGGGTTCGAGGGGCCGGCGCTGCGCCCCAGCTGGAGGGTGGGCGCCCAGGGAGCGAGATGAAGCTCGGGCTGTGAGGCCGAGGAGGCGGCGGCAGGGGGGGAAGGGTCCGATGCCTGTCCGGGGGCACCGCTGAGGCGGCGGGTCCCTGACCTCCGGAGACAGGTTCGGACGTCCCCGCCGCGCCCAGTCCTCACTGGGCCGTGACGCCGCGGGCTGGTGGAGGCGCGTCTCCGGCACGGTGAGTGGGCTCGCGGGGGATCGCGGGGTTTCTTTGTTCGTGGTTGGGACTTGGAGGGAGGGGTGGTGTCGGGAGTACCCATTCCTCAGCCACGTGGGCGACTCCGGTCCTACCCTCAGCCGGGGGAGTGGGCACTGGACGTGGAAAAATGTTGGAGGTAGGAGTAGAGAGTCGAGGAGGCTGAAGACCATTCTTTGGTTGCCCCCCCCCCCATTTTGTCACGGGGGCTCGCTGGGGTGGTGCTTCCTGGATTGACAGCCCCGGAGCTCAGCACAGTTTGAGGAACCTGGGCATCAGTGGATGGCCGGGTGTTGTCCGGCACGGGGTGGGCCGAACGTCTGTCCCCCCGACTGATGGGCCACGCCACCCTGCTGCTCTCTCAGATCACGGTCTTGCCACTCGGGTGGATCCGGAGTAGGCTCTGCCGTAGCGGATGGAAAAGGCTTGGGGGCTGGACTCCAGCGAAAGGGGCTTCTGGAGCTGGGCTCCCCGGGAGAGGCGGGGCTCGGGAGTCTCCTCCCTCCGGTTCTTTGTTCAGTCGCGAGACTTTTTCTCCCCTCCCCCCTATTGTGCAAAGCGCCCACCCCAAGACCCACTGCCGTAGCTGCCCCGGGAGCTTTCTGCGGGGAGAAGCCCCTCCGCACAGGGCTTCAGGTGGGGCGGCCGTGCGGACACCGCCGCCCCGGGACAGTTTCCTGTTTGTGAAACGGCCAGGAGGCCGGGGCCGGCCGGTCTGACCCAGCGCTGGCCGGCGGACCAGACCGCGGCCCCTCCTCCTGCCACACCTCCCTGGAGGTGGGGGAGGATTGCGCTGGGCTTCTGGAGGACGTGACTGATCCCCTCACCCGCTGCCCGCCGGGGTGTGCTGGGGCGCCTCTCGCTGGAGGTATTGGCACTAGCTCTTTCTGCCCACTCCCCCCTGTTACCTTCCCCCCAGGATACCCTCTAACTGCGTGGTGTCTTTGCTGCAGATGAAGGATTTGGGGGCAGAGTATTTGGCGGGTCGTGAAGGGGTCCAGCTCTTCGGATTGTTGAACCTCTATCTAGAACAGGAACAGAGATTCCAACCTCGAGAAAAAGGGCTAAGCTTGATCGAGGCTACCCCGGAGGTAAGCTCCCAGAAAAGATACCTTCTTGCTCAAGCAGCTGATAGGGCTTGGAGAAGGATGACTCCCCCCGCCCAGTTGAATCAAGATTAAAGGCTGCAAAGTTTCTTAAGACCGAAATTTGTCTTCTAGAATAGTAAGATAAATTTTACAGGGTTATGCAAGAATGAGAGTGATACTAACTCCAGAGAAGTGTTTCTTCAAATGTGGCACCCCCAACCTGCAGCTTCTGGGTGGGACACTCCCTGGGAATGGAGTAATTCATTTGTGGAAATACCCTCTGCCCATAAATACGTTATAGTAGACTTTTAGGTTTTTTTTTTTTTTTTTTAAATAAAGAAAACAAACTATCTCCATTATAGGGGAATTACATTTGCTCTAACCCTCTGGAAGTGTGACAGCAGTTCACTTTATATTGGATTGCTGAAGCTCTTTTATGCTGTATATTTTTAAAAAGCCATGATATATATATATACACGTGTCTTGTATCTGAAAAAGTATATCATTAGTTAAATACTCTTTCCTCCCATATTCTTGAAGGTTAAGAAAAAAAATTACCTTATTTGAATCTAATTGTGTGTATTTACCCATCTAGTTCTAAGAAAGTCATAACTTTGGCTGTTGGTTTTTATTGCAGGATGATAACACTTTGTGTCCAAGATTGAGAAATGCCAAAGTAGAAGATTTAAGGAGTTTAACCAACTTTTTTGGATCTTGCACTGAAACTTTTGTTCTGGCTGTCAATATTTTAGATAGATTCTTGGCTCTTATGAAGGTATTTAATCGTTTTTGCATATGCATCTTTCTATTTCTAAACCTAGTGCCCAGCACAGTGCCTAGCATACAAGGGTTCGTTAAATGTTTGACAAGTGAATGTAATTATGTCACTACATATAAACATTTTAATTGGAATTGTGATCTTCAGTGCCAGAGTGAGAGACTACAGAATTAACTGTGTTGTATTTTAAGTTAGGTTTTGCTGTTACCGTTTATATACCTTCTCTTTGAAGATGTGACAAAACGGAGGCCACTGTTTTTAGGTATTCCCTATATATGTGTACAGTCCTCAAAATAAGGTTTTCATATTTTTATCTCCCATCACGTTTCTCTTGGAGCTTAGTTGTTTTTAATGCGAAACATGACAAGTGGAAGTATAGCAGTATATTAAAGGTGACCTAACTGCCTTCCCTGTGAGAAGTCTTTTCAAAGCAGGGAGCCGTACTCTTATTAACCAGAAACTGTTAGAAAAATGTGGTGATTCTTCTGCCAATAGGATTGCTGTCAGCTGCTGGGTCAGTTTTTAGGGCACTGAAAAGAAAAGGGCAGCCATCTGTCCTTGGCAGCTTTTACATATGCTCCACTCTGCACAACTGATGCAATATTTCTCTTGGGCAAATTTGCATTGAAATGTGGGATGATACTTAAATAGAGAAGAAGATAAAAAGATAAGTCGCATATATTATGTTTATATCCAAAGAAGTATATATTGTTTCCGTGTTGAAAGGCTTAATTTATTTTGGGGGAGACTGTACTGTTGAGAATTTCGTGTTTGAAATACAAAGTATGATTCAGTGTTAGAAACCTACCTTTTGAATTTGTATTTAAATTACTTAATTTAAATGCTTAATGCTTTTTTTAAATGGGAAGCTAACTCAGTTTAAAATGTAAAAAGGGTTAAGTATAATCGTGAATAAGGGTAAGTCCTTGAAGCAGCTAGATTGTGCTCTGGTCGTAAGAGTTAGGGACACCATTATAATCTTTTAAGTGCCTGCTTTGCTAAATCTGAGTGACAGTTGTTAGAAGAAGCCTTTGTTCTTTTGTTTTTCAGGTGAAACCTAAACATTTGTCTTGCATTGGAGTCTGTTGTTTTTTGCTGGCTGCTAGGATAGTTGAAGAAGAATGCAATATTCCATCCACCCATGATGTAATCCGGATTAGTCAATGTAAATGTACTGCTTCTGACATAAAACGGATGGAAAAAATAATTTCAGAAAAATTGCACTATGAATTGGAAGCAACTACTGCCTTAAACTTTTTGCACTTATACCATACCATTGTACTTTGTCATACATCAGAAAGGTCAGTGGGATTACAAATAAAAATTTTGTACTTTAGCATCGCTGTAGCTAACCGTTACAATGCCAGTGAAATTTATATTTTTACTCCTCTAAATTTTCAACTTGAGTTTTCAGCAGCAAGTTCTTAAAATCATTTAAATCTTTGGAAGTTTAATAAATAAATATTTTGTCTTATATTTTAATTGTATAGGAAAGAAATACTGAGTCTAGATAAACTAGAAGCTCAGCTGAAAGCTTGCAACTGCCGACTTATTTTTTCAAAGGCAAAAGTAAGTTGATTGCTTGCTTACGTGTTTCACTGTTTCTATTTTGAATTTTTTAAAAAATACTTACTTTTCTTTTTCTTTTTGTTTTTTTTTAGCCATCTGTGTTAGCTTTGTGCCTTCTCAATTTGGAAGTAGAAACTTTGAAATCCATTGAATTACTGGAAATTCTTCTGCTTGTTAAAAAACATTCCAAGGTAAATTATCTTCAGTTCTTATTCTTTAAAGCAGATTTCTCTCCTAATGTTTCATTTTTTTTTTTCCGCTGTAGTGATTTAAACATTAAGTAATACTTTATGGGGCTTTTAACTTTTATACTTTTTTCTTGTATCTCAAGTGTTGAAGTTCTCAAAATGCAGCTTTGACGCAGACAGTATTAAGCTAGAAGGGGAACCTGATCACTTAGCTTAGCTTCTTTCTGTGTTCAGATGTTTTGTCCCTTCTCTGGTATTCTCACCAGTTGGTAACACAGTGGTCCACATTGCTATGTGCACATTGTTCTAAAATACATACTAGGAAGTAGATTTAGTAAATATACTAATGGCAGTCCATTACATCTATAGGGCTGAATCATCATCCCATTAGTAGCATTACCAAAATAACTTCAGCCATGTTTTTCTTTTTAAACCTCTTAGTCTGGCCGGCCCAATAAGTTTTGCAGTAAGGGGTGTTAATACTAATAGGGAGTGCTTTAGGGTTTCGTTAGCACAGAAGTAGGGCAGACTGTGAAAGGCACAATGACTGGTTGGACCAAAAGAATCTTAGACAATGAAAGTTTGGGTAGCAAAGGCTTGTGGTCAGGAAGCTGGTGGACTAGAAGGGTTTGGGAATCATTTAATGTAGGCTTAGTGTTAGAATGTCTAGGTGATAGTCACAAGCAGGAGTAAGGATATCCAACTCAAATAGTTTTGGAAGCCAAGCATGGAAATGAGACAAGGAGTCACAAATGGCCAAGATTTGAACCTAATGATGGGGAGAATATTGATACCATCAAGGGAAGTTTGAGAGAAATTAATTTGTGATCGGAGAAGTGTGACTTTAGGTTCTTGTAGGTCTTTCAGGTGGGTAGGTATTTAGCAGATATTTGGCAGCCTGGAATAAAAACTCAGAAGATAAGTTGTAGTTGGAGATTGAAATTTGAAATTTCTCATGAAGAAATAATAGTAGAAACCATAAGAAACTTATGGGAGTTCTTTGCTTAGGGGTCAGTTGAAACTCTGGGTTTTCATTGTTGGTGGTTTCCCCCTTAGGAGGCAAGGGAAGGAGGGTCCATGAGACAAGTGCACTGTCAGGTTGGAAAAAGGTTTTCAAGAAGTATTGCAAGTCAGGAGTATTGAATTTTGATGAAAGACCCAGTGTAAAAAGAATTGAAGGAGGTTATTAGATACCTAGAAGGAGGCGTCCGTAGAATGAGAAGTGAGACTGCCAGATTACAAGGGGGTCAAGATGTAGCTGGATTAGGTGGTAATGGAGACAAAGATGATACAAAATTATCTTCTGTTCGTGATGAAAGTATTGTGAAGTATTTTGTTTTTGGCAGATAACTTGTAGCTTTTATTTATTTATTTATTTCAAAGATTTTTATTTATTTGACAGAGAGACACAGCAAGAGAGGGAACACAAGCAGGGGGAGTGGGAGAGGGAGAAGCAGGCCTCCCGCCGAGCAGGGAGCCGGATGCGGGGCTCGACCCCGGGACCCTGACCTGAGCCGAAGGCAGACGCTTAACGACTGAGTCACCCAGGCGCCCCTCTAGCTTTCATTTAAATCATGAATTTGTTAGTTTTAATTTAAACCTTTTATAATATCTGGAAATATCTCTTTTTTAAAGATTTTATTTGACACAGAGAGAGCACAGTCGGGGGAGTGGCAGGCAGAGGGAGAGGGAGAAGCAGACTCCCCGCTGAGCAGGGAGCCCCATGCAGGGTTCCATCCCAGGACCCTGGGATCATGACCTGAGTGGAAAGCAGACGCTTAACCAACTGGGGCACTCCTCAGTGGTGGAGGAACTGTGCTCTTTCGGAGAAATTCCTTTTCTGTCATATTGCTAACTTCTCTATTAGCATACATCTGGTGTCTTAATGTAAATGCATACTTTTAGCAATCCACACAATGCTATGTTAAAGAAACCTAAATTATGTTAAGTTCCTTTCATTGAGACTATTAAAGAATATACTTAATAGATTGGTTAACAAACCTAATGTTTTTAGGTCAGTGTATTTTCTTAAAATAGGCAAAGATTTTTATTAGGTTCTATGTAAATTATTTATACCTACAGTGCTCCTCCTTTAAACCAGTGGTTACCAGACTTTGACTGCTCATTAGAATCACTTGTGGAGCTCTAAAGAAATCTTGATGCCCAGGTCACATCCTGTATCAAATAATATCTGATGGTGGGAGCCATGCTTCAGTATATTTTAGGCATTATAGGGTGATTCTAAGGTATTTAACCTCTTCATTAAAATATTTTTTCTAGGTTAATGACACCGAGTTCATTTATTGGAGGGAGTTAGTTTCTAAATGCCTAGCCGAATATTCTTCTCCTGAATGTTGCAAACCAGATCTTAAGAAATTGGTTTGGATTGTTTCAAGGCGCACAGCCCAGAACCTCCACAACAGCTACTACAGTGTTCCTGAGCTGCCAACGATACCAGAGGGGGGTTGTTTTGATGAAAGTGAAAGGTAAGCAGGTTCCTTGACTAATTAGACTTACCCATAGTAAGTAACACTGGTTTTATACTCAAAAATGGAACCTGGGAATATTACAGGGTATTAGAGAAAGCCCCTACTCCAATAGCATCATTTCTTCAGGTGGGAAAATTAGCTAGAGGTAGTTTTACTAAAGTAGGTGATGATTTAGAAGTATACGCCCCACATCCCCCCTCTTTTTTCTTTATTAAAAAAAAAAATGAAACAAAACATGATGCTCTATATTACATCCCCAGGATTTGTAACTGGAAGTTTGTACCTGTTGACCACTTTCACCTATTCTCATCCCCTGCCTCTGGCAACCACCAATCTGTTCTCTGAATCTATGAATTCTGGTTTTTGTTTTTCTCGTTTTTAGATTCCACACGTAAGTTGAGATTGTACAGTGTTTGTCTTTCCCCTGTCTGACTTACTTCATTCCTTCCCTTTTTGAAAACTGGTTGTTTCACATCTTCCTTGCTCATTGAAGTAGAGTTTAGTTTAAAAACAAACAAAACCTGAAGTGGCATTCTGGTTCAGGGTTAGTATGAATTCCTAATCCAGTGCCTCAGGAAGAGGCTGTGGGTTAAATGACTGGAAAATAAAGGGAACCACCACCACCACTAACGCGGCCGACTTTAATTTTGTCAAATGCCATTGTCTTGGTCAGGTTAATTTTTGTTCATAAAAGGACTAATTTTATCAGATTTGGTTATTTTATGCCCTAGAGATAACAAGAAGTTTCATTTTTATAGTTTACTGGTTTCTTGGTTTGAGAGTATCGGGGATACAATTATTAATGCAAGAAAGACATCAAAACCATGTGATGGGAGATACGTTGTCCTTTGTCTCCACTTACTGGATTTAAAATGCTTAGAATTGTACAGTTAGTTCCTGATATTTATTAATTGGTACAAGAATAATAGTTTGGCAGATAGTCATTTGTCTAAACCTCTCAAAATCTATTTTCTAAGGAGATTACAATAGATTACAATTCATTTTAGGAAATCCTTGTAAGTTAAATTTTGTCTCTGTAAATCTTAAATTTTGAATATAAAAATCCTGAGACTGGAGATACTTGTTTAGTAATTTTATTTGGCTTTTAAAACCTTAAAGTATTTTCTAAATAATGGAATCTTTGTCTCTTTTCCTCCCTTTAGTGAGGACTCTTGTGAAGATATGAGTTGTGAAGAGAGTCTCAGCAGCTCTCCTTCCAGTGATCAAGAGTGCACTTTCTTTTTCAACTTCAAAGTGGCACAGACACTGTGCTTTCCATCTTAGAAATCTAATTGTTCTGTGTCAGAATTTAAAGTGTGTGTACAAGTTTCAAAGCAATAAATGGAGTAGGTAGTTTCTGGTCCATCCCCCACCTAGGCAGAAATTGCATAGACTGGAATACCTACCTTCTATTTATTATTCAGATCAGATCTGGCCTATTTTCATATTTAATCCTAAGCCATCAAATGGGTTAGTGCCTCTTAAACGATTAACAATGTTTTACACATTGGCACTTTATTTTTCTCATTGATCTTTAGCTACTTGGGGGAGGAGGGAAGGTGCTGATACCTTCAATTTGTTACTTTTCAAGAAGATTTTTAAAGATGAGTAGTGTAGCTTAAACTTTTTATAAAGCCTTCACCTGTCTTTATTTAAACAGATTGGGAGTGTACAAGTGCTTCCTTAGCAGGGACCGTGGATAACCCTTTAATGGCTTATCATAGATCTCCCCTACTTCCCAGTCTCAGAACAGAGAATATACTCTTCATTGTCATACACCTTTTTGTTTTGTTGTTTTTTAAATGATTACTTACTCTCTGATGCAGACTCTATAAACTTAGAAATTATAATAGTGACATTTCTGTGAATTTTAGTATGTAATGTGTTAATTGAAGTTTCTGCTAAAGCAGAAATACTCGACAGGCTATGGTTGTTAGATAGTTGCATTTTTAATGCCTAAGTATTGTCAGGCTATAGTATTATTTTAATGTTATTAAAACAATCCATAATCTGTTAGTTATGCATGCACCTGTATGAAAGCAGTGCAGGAAGTTGAAGAGAACTAGGTAACTGTGGAATTGATAAATGTTGATCTAGTAGCATATTTTATTTCTTATATTCAAAAAGTCTGCATGATTATGTTTATTTCCTTTGTAATTCACATTTCAAAAATAATATTAGTATATGGGTGCCAAGACTGAACATGAAGTTAAAAAAAAAAAAGTGTTTGTAGTGTTCTAGTTTTGAGCATATCTGTGTGGTGGTACAGCCATAAGAATAGGGATTTACAAACTCTGTACACATGAGATTTTGTACAGAGAATTTTTTTTAACTTTATAAATTGTATATGAAAATGTAAATCTTAAAAAATGTACATAAAAATGCTGTATTTTTTTACCTTGTGTGTGTGGTAGTCTAGTCATTGCATGTAAATATAATTTATTGTGTATTCTGTATTATAAATCATACATTGATGACTTACTTTTTGAATGGTAAGTCAGCATCCGTTGGATGTTTTCTGAAGTGGATCTTTTTGAAGTAATAATAGATTGCAACTCAAAATAAAGATATTAATGAATTACACTCCTTGTTTGTAATTGTTTCTTAATTTTGTGGTTCAAAAGAAAAAGCGCTTGCTGTATTTTCGCGGGAAGGCCTTGAAGTGAGGCTGGAGTGCCTCCAAGATAAGCTGTCTATCTGGTTACCAGAAGTCCTTTAGGTAGAATTTCTTTATCACAGTTTGGCCTCAGTCTTGGAGATACTGGAAGCGAATCTGTCACTTGAGAATTGACCTCTCTCTGGGGTGGACTCACGTAAAACAAAAGAGTGATGTATTGACCTGAATGCCTATTTATACTGAAAGGCAACAGGTAGCAAGTACACCGGCATACTCAGGTTGGAAGATCAATACAATTTCTCTGCACACAGGCCACATTCTAATGAGAAGGTTGCTTGGCAAATACAGCCAGGGAGTGTACTGTGACTGACCCTGCCCGCCTCTGGCTCTTGGGACCTCTTTTTCCAAGACTTAGGCTTGTTTTGCAAGTCACGGTGGGTTTTTGGGCGAGGGGTCATCTGATTCCCCTTTGGTTTGATTGTGTAGACCTTTGTTTTCTCTAGTTGGTTGGAAAATCATATGCTGAATGTGGTTTTCATGTAATACTAATACCTCTTCTCCGTTAGTGATATGGCCATCTTTTCCTAACCCTCCCAGCGGAGGCTCTTGGCTTGAGGATGACCCTCCCCTTATTAAGTCATTTGTGTAAATAGTATATGCTGCTTGCAGATTTTGATTTGTTGAGATGTGAAAGTTACTTGTGGCTTTCCAAATCTTGAAACCCTCTTCAGTTCCTGCAGGATTTGATTGCTTTTCTTCCTAGATGCTCTTACTGTGTGAAACTGCACACATAGTTTCATAACTGTTCCCCTTTAGGGTTCTCAGTATATTTGGTCTAGGACTCTTTACTGAGCTCCCAGCTTGTTTTTTCACAACTGGCTACCCCACTTGGAAGTTTCTGATTCCTCCCAAACCTGCTCTTCCTGTATGTTTATCTTGGTGAATAGGTATTGTCTACTCAAATTGGAAACGTATGTAGTCTCATCTCCTCCCACCTGTTTACTGGACATTTCCATTTATCATTTATATGATTTCATTTGTACTGTCTGGCTCTATTCTGTCCCCTCTTTTCTGCCGCTGGCTTGGTTCAGTCCTGTTCTCTTTCTCAGCAGGGTCACTACAGTACCTTAGTCATTTCCTAGGATGTAACAGGCGCACTGTTGCTTCTGTTTTTCTGCATGCTGTGGTATCACTGCCTGGTCCCTGGGTCTCCAGCCATTTGACCCTCAGGAAGGGAGATTGGACAAATACCATGTTTTAATCACCTGCCATACTCAGGTCAACTATAGATGCATTAGTTGCAGAACACGTCTCATGACAATTTTAACCGTTTTCTTTGTCAAGGATTTGACTTTTCCCTTCAATTCCTTTTATTTCAACACTAGGTTCTACCATGATGTTCCTCCCCCTTGCCTCCTACCTTCCCCTGTGCACAAATTGCCAGCTTATTTAGGCAACCCATTTTTATCAGATTCTTACACGAACAAAGACCATGTACTTTGCATTTGCTATTTTTGGACTGAGTTTTTCTAATTATTTGTACCAGAAATGGGTCAACAACCTACTGTTCTTGTGTTTAGCAAGTCAGGTTGTGTGATAGTTTCCCAATAGCTAATGGGCCTTCCCATCCCTGTGCATATACACTGCTCTTCCCATCAAGAGGTGGAGTCTGTTCACCTTGAATTTCAGCTGGCCTTGTGCCTGGTTTTGCTTACTAAAGTGCAGTGGAAGAAGGTTAGTGATGTCCAACCCTACGCTTTAAGAAGACTGGCAGCTTCCCTTTTATTCTTGGAGGCCAGCCGCCATGCTGCAAAGAAGCTCAGGTTGGATTACTGAAAGATGAGAGGCCAGGTAGAGAGAGGCTCTTGAGGAAGAGAGATCATCTTGGATGTTCTAGTGCCAGCTAAGCTCCCAGCTGATTGCAGCTTGCAATGAGGTATCCTCAGCTACAGCACACGGAGCTGAGGAACTGCCTTGCACATCCCACTCAAGCCACAGACTCATGAAAATAATAATTGTTTTAAGCCACTAGGTTTTGGGGTGGTTTGCTATACAGCAATAGTTAATCGAGACAGGTTGCTTATTATTTATAGCCCAACGGTTGTTATCTCTGAGTGATGAGATTATAGGTGATTGTTTTTTCTAATAATGCCTATCTGTAGTTTCCATTGTTTGTCCTTTAAAAAATGGATTTGAATTATTAGTGTATTAACAGAATAAAGAATGAACTTTAAAAAACACACACTGATTATATCCTTTTTTTGATTAAAATCCTTAATGGCTTCACACGGGTCCTTAGCATGAGGTTCAAACTCCTTACCCATGGCTTCTAAGGCCCTGCTTGATTTGATCCCTGTTCAAGCCTCTCCCTCATGGCATCCACATACACCTTTCCAGCCTAATTGCATTTCAGCTCCTCCCATTCACCGTGCTTTCGCTCACCTCAGTAACTTCATGCACACTCTTTCATCCACCTGGAACACCTTTCCTGGCATCCTTATCTGGCAAACTCCTACTTTCCATCGTAGGAGTCATTTCATTTATCCCCCGCCGATATTTGAGTGCCCCTTATGTGCCAGGCAGTACAACAGGAGTTCGATATATAAAACCAAACACAACACACAACGTCCCTACCCTCATGCAACTTACATTATTATGGTGGTGAAACCAAACAGCTCACAGCAAAAAATATAAGTTTTAAAGGTTATGATGACATTTTCTTCTAAGAAGTCTTTTTGGAACTCCTTTGCTTTCCTCTCTTTCTCAGTACTACATGTTTCCATAAAACTATATTTTTCTTATCCTAGCAGTTAATACCTTGCTTGTCTGTCTCCCTTGTGTGCCTGCCTTACCTGTCTGATCCAAGAAGGTCGGGGCTCTTTGTCTTTCTTATTCATTGTTGAATCCCCAGTGCCCAGCATAGTATCTGGTCCAAACTCCTTCTCCTCCAGCTGTTACTCAATATGTTACAGGCACCTTGCAAGAATTATTTAATTTTTACCACAATCTATTAGGCAAGTACTGCTATTGGTCCCATTTTACAAGGAAAGAAACTAAGGATTAGAGAAGTACTTGGACATAGATCTGATAAGGAGCAGGGCTGAAATTCAAACCGAATCTGTCTGCCAAACCCTATGCTCTTTCTTTCTTTCTTTCTTTCTTTCTTTCTTTTTTAAGATTTTATTTATTTATTTGACAGAGACATAGAGAGAGAGCACAGATAGGCAGAGCAGCAGGCAGAGCGGCAGGCAGAGGGAGAGGGAGAAGCAGGCTGTCTGTGGACCAGGGAGCCCAACGCGGGGCTCGATCCCAGGACCCTGGGATCATGACCCGAGCCGAAGGCAGACCCCTATGCTCTTTTTTAAGCCACAATGCTAAAGTACTACCCAAATGTTGATAGTACTCATTTAACAGTTATTGAATGAATGAAATAAAAGTTCTTATAAAGAAAACCCTACTCTTTATACCAGCAAGATAAGCCACAGTATTCTTCTCTTCAATTTTTAAGTGCCCTCACCCATATAAAGAACAAATGGCTAAGAGGTAGTTAAAATATCTTTAATTGCCCAAGAGCCATAGGTGGTAATATAAAAATTCAAGATAGTATAGTGGTAGAGAAGATGACGTCTCATCAAAAGCTGGGAATTTTAAGTTGCCCTGAAAACGTCTTTGTGCTTTGGCATGTGGGCCCTTCCCAATCCCTAGTTCTTTTTTACACTTAGGTTATAGTTTATAATTTATTATTACCTTGGGTTCCAAGGCCCATAGTCATTCGATGTTAAAGGGGGTGGAACCTTTATTAATTAAGGACTGTTTTGTTAAAGGCTTGCTTGCCCTTTGCCTGTCTTACTATTATCCAACATAACCATCATTTCCTACTTACTCATTAATGTTCTGGGATTTTTTTCCAGTAATTATTTCATGTGTCTGTGGTTTAGTCCTTTGCCTAAACTCTAAGCTTCTCTTGAGAAGAGACCATGTGTTATGCTTCCTTTTTATCATTCATGGTGCCTAGTATAATGCTGGGTAAAATATGTGTCAACATTTTTCTACGTGTATCCCACCTGATACTGTCTTTGCCATTCCTGATTGCAGTGATTCAGAGTTCATAAAGATAAACTTCCATGCATGCAAAGATGGATTCACCCTCTCCAAAGTTAGGATTTTGCATCATTACTAAGGCATGCAGGGGGCCATAGCCTACTGCTAGAGTTGTGCACCTTACTCATGAGTAAGATGTAGTGATCAGAAACACACAGGCTCTCTAACCAGATGCCCAGGTTTGATCTTGGTTTGGTCACTCAGTATGTGACCTAATTGGCTGTTATCTAAAGTGTTTGTGCCTCAGTTTCTCTCTCTGTGTAAAGGGTCAATAACATTACTTACTTGTGCTGGACACTGAAATGTGCTGCCTAGATGCCCCAGCTGTTGGGAGCACTTTTGGCACAAAACCTTCAGCTAACAACACCTTTGGGGCAACACGCCCAGACAGCAGCCCCACCCAAGGTCATGCCTTGCCCAGGAGGGCCCGCATCTATGACAGATTAAGGTGAGAGGAAGTGTAAAGGCTTGGTCACTTTGGTCCAATGCAGGACAACCTGAAGGATCGTTTTGGTCTCAGAGCTCCCCATGGGGTTGGCTGAGGCTGCCATTGGGCCTGCATTGTGGCTCACTTCCCTGCACCCAAACTTGCTTCCTTTCCCTCTCTGCCATGGATGTGGATTCCAAGGGTGCTTCCTAATGAACATCCTGTGCCCTCAACTTTGTTTCAGAGTCTGCTTCATGGACATCACCACCAGCCAACACTGCCTTGTGGGGTTACTGCGTGTATTGAATGACATGATGATACATGATGAAGAATTTGAAACAGTGCCTGATACACACCCAGTAACTATTGGCTATAATAATTATCACCCCACTTTTGCCCTACCTTCTTACTTCCCTAAAATAAGACTCAATAATTTAT